TCCTTCTATGAAGAACACATTTATAAGAGAGAACGATTACAGTTTTCACTTGTACATTTCTTTAAAAAGTCGCTGAACGAGATGGTGATTAAAAACACTCTCACGTTATTATCTGATGAATATTCATCCGAAGGTGGATAGAGGAAGATGTATGGTACAAGAGCAATGAGACATTTTCGAAAACTCGTTCACACCGTGAACGATAATAATTAGAATGCGGATGTTTATGCAGAATCAAACTTCTCTGCATTCATTCCTCCTTCTCCTCTGTCTCTCTCTCTCTCTCTCTCTCTCTCTCTCTCTCTCTCTCTCTCTCTCTCTCAATTATTATAATATCGATCTTCCTACTTGTTTAAATATTCATTTAGGCCATAATCCATTCATGTTTGTCACAAATGCACGATGTCTGCAGTGTAATTATAATAAAGAGATATGATATAATGAAATAGATAAAAATATAAGACAAAAAAAATAAGATATCTGTATGACATTCTTAAAGCTTCTTTACAACGATGACAGCGATTTGACTGTGGATCTTTACACAAAATAGAAATTGCCTACATCAATTGTAAGAAAAAGAGGCTATACCAAAATGCGTCTCCTCTTCTAATGAACTGAATAAGTCGAAAATAACATAACAATGTCATTAAATTCTCTTAACGCTTTCACTGTTTTGAAAATTAATTTTACCGCCAATCTATTAGTTGTTAATAATGATAATAAAGTAATCAATATTAGTGCAAGATACACTGACAAAATAATTCAATACCTTGATGCAACGAATGCCAAGAAATCAAGCATTTTTTAAAAGTCGATATTATTCGATGCACTGCGGACTTTATGCAGTTATAATAAAAATAGGTCGAAAACGGTCGCACCGTTTAAACAATGGAAATATAGCAATACACCATTGTCAACACGTAAGTGACTCCAGTTTTTTCAAGGATCAATAAAAGCAAAAAGAGACATTTTGGGAAATCCACTCGCAAACTAATGATAATAAAGAAATAATTCCTACGAGCTGCGGTGTGTCGCGATAATTGAATATTTTTCGCGTATGAATGGCTCCGCAACGAATCGGCGACTGCGACGAGAAGCGGATTGATTGAACAACCGATCGTGCGTTCCCAATGTACCGGTCGAGGTTCTGCGGTTGACAAATTAACTCACCGAAAATGGGAGTTGTCAAAGTCCCCGGATAGCGGCCGTCCGCTGGAAAATAAGCGAAACGCCCGCCGTGGTAGGTCTCTCACGTCTGTCAGACGTGACGCGTTTATCTTAAACACTGTTACGTTAAACAGCCGCGGAACTCATTAGTTAGGTAGCCGGCTCGCAGGTCGCGTTACGTGCGGTTGGCTATGCTAGTTGGCCCATTAGCGAAATTAGAAGAGGAGTATTTTAAACGCCGCGTGTAATGAAAACAATTGCGGATTTCATTTAGCCAGTCGCTGCGCCGCGCCGCGCCGCGCCGAGCCGTTTTTCCGTCTGTTCGCCGCTGGATTAGTTTCGGATATTTCTTGTTTGTTCGACCGTTCACGAGGCGCGGAACGTTTTTCAGCCGGCTGCAAGAAGAATCGTTGGCTGATTTAAGGAGAAAAATCGACTCGGCTCGAATCGGATCGGGGGAAACCGTTCCGCGGGCTGATTTGTTGCACTGGAACCGCGGCAATTGCATTGTCAATGGTTAGTTACTTCGTGAACCTGCCTCAGAATTACACGAACGATGCGTTGTTTTATCGGCTGGTGTTTTATTCGGAACTGATAATTTAAACGGTCCGCGTTTAAAATATGCCGACAGAGATTGTTTAAAATCTGCCAACGGATGTGTTCAGAATCTGCGACGATATTAATCAACAAAATGGACTTTTATAGCTGCGTTTCGGAGATAAGATTGCAGGTCTTTATGCAGTTATGTTGCATAAAATTTAGAATATGAAGATAAGTCATTAATATTTTTATTAGAACTTTCAGTGACTTGTAACGTTAAGAAAAGTAAATATTTCTGCTAGAATTTTTGTGGCTTGTGCGTTAATGAAAATCGATATTTTTACTAAATTATAGTAAATGCCTTATTCTGTTTTATGAAATTGTTTCATCAAATTGTTTTATCAAATAATTTGTGAAAATGCAAATTTATTCGAAGATCCACTGCTTTATTAATCGGATTACGGGTCTTTTTATGCCAAGTGAAAATTGCCTGTACTAATTAAATGATAGAGGAACAACGTAGACACGTAATTATTTCTTAATCAGTTTGAAAGGTTGAAAATAATAGAACAGTATTTTCTAAATGCTCAGATGTTTTTATGTAATAAAATAATAATAAAATTGCTATGGGTACAAGCAAATAGAGTGTCGTATGCAATTATCAATACCATAAATTAATACAATGTAAAATATAAAACGCAGAACTACTCAGAGACAACATCGAAAAGTAGCAAATTTTTAAACGTGCTTCATATTCCCATCTCGTTCGACATTGACATTGAAATCGGTGAAGCGACTTCTGTCTCTTACACGCTTCACATAAAAATTATTTCGCACAAAGATCCGCAGTCTCTTTACCAAACCAACGCATCGTCGTAACGCTACTATGATCGCACAATCCGTTTCTTCTCTATTCGCATCGAATCGACTAAATCCGCGTTGTAAACGCCACGAACACGATCCAAGCCAGATAGTCGTGGCCCAATTAAGCCGGCCCGATTGTTTCCGTGACTTCCATATCGTTCGGAAGTGTCAAAGGCGTCGGATATAATGAAGATCGAACGGGTCACAGCAAGTTCGACAGAGTGAAAAGAGAAAAAATATGGGATCGGGATCGATCTAGATCGGGGCGGGTTTCCGCGAAACAACAGGAAGAAAAAAAGTTGCGAGTTAAGTGGCACTCCCCGCGAGGCATAAACAAGCGTTAGGGACATGAATGGGATCACGTAAAAAACAGATTTCCACCCTCGATCTCGTACACGAAACGTGATTTCAAGCCGTCAGCCCGGAGGAAGGGTGGAAAAAGGGCGTTACGGATTGGGGCTAACCCTGTAAGCGATCCCAGGGGCTCGTCAAGAACGATCTTATGATTGACCGTGTTACGGCACTCCCTGTAGACCATTTTCCGGGTGTATCTTGGAAATACATACGAACGAGAGTGCCTGCCCGAGCAAGAAACAACCGGCGCGGACTATCTTCCAACTATCTGTAACTGTACACTCGGATTCTTATGTACACGCTTCTGCAGGATGACGGGCAAATAATCGGATCATTCGCCGATCAAACAGCCTCGATTCTACGCTCCGACTGAATCTACCAGCGATTAATCTCATCCTTTCAACGAACACGCACGAATTAATGGACCGCGATCGCGGCTCGACGCGCTTCCAAAATTTGCAGAATTATCGTCGTCGATTGGTTGCATTAGAATCGTAGCGGCGTAGGTTCATACTTTTCTTATTGCGAGAAACATACAGCGTTATTGTTTACTAATATGTGTACTGTTTGCTGTTATGTGCATTGTTTACTGCCATATTTATTGTTCAATGATCTTGTTATTAAGACAATTCGGAGATCAGCTAATATATTTAAAGTTCATAATTTATTTCACTCGTTTCTTCAACGTTTCGGCATTTATAGATTACTTTTTAAGACGTAAGTGAACATTTTCGAAAGTACGACACAAGTCACTGCGATTCAAAGTCAATTTGCTCGACAGTTAAGATCGATTAGTATCTCTTCGTCGTTAATAAATTCCTGCACGATGAAGAAGATTTATATTTACTGCATGTTTTTGCATTGATTACGATCGCGAAGAGCGTCGACAACAAAACAATCGAATTTTATGCAGTCGTATTAATCCTTCGCGCTACGATTGTTCCTTTTTTCATTGCTACGTTGATCGATTATTAGTACTTATAATAACATCCCTTACAGAACGAGGCAATTTTCGTACGTTGTTGCACGTCTTCGTTCACCTTCATTCTTAGATCTCGATAACAGGAAGAATCTGTTTGAATAACATCTATATTCAGCGGATCACGTACGGAATCTCCGTAACGAATCTGACACGTTGTTATGGCGCAATTACCGGACTTCCGATTCCGTACGCGAAACACAAATTTCCGCGCATGAATTTCGAACGATAGAAATTATGCAAACGCCGGGTATCGCTGTGCCGGTAATTTTTGTATATTCATGGCGACGTAACGATAGCTTTCAATTCCCCTGAAGTTTTCACTTTATCGCGTTCTCCATGAATTACACATAAACGTTCGAAGCCGAGCATTAGAAGCGGCGAGCAAAAATATATATTCATTTCAATCAGCATGTTCCGCGCGCGACGTTCTTTATCGCGACACAGAAATTAAAAATGCGGAGCGAACTATGCGATGCCAGCGGTTAGAGCCGCGAAATATCGGATCGCGGTGAAATCGTTCGCGTCGGAACGATCTTCTCGTTCTTTCCCGGCAACGATGAATTATTCTCCGCGCGCGCGCGCGCGTGTATGTATGTGTTCTAATGATTGAAGGAAACCCGAGATCGCGAAAAGCGCGGCCGCGCCAGTCCCGGCGACAATATTTCGGGGTCTAATCTCATTGACGTAAATAGCACTGTCAGTGGCACGCGGTTTAATTCGCATTGTAAATTAGATGACGGCGTGGACGCTGGCCGGCAAGGCTACCGTTCGTGCCTCAAAATTGCGGCTCGCGGTGCGATAAGCATGCAAAATATCCGAGAAAGAATGCGGCAACAAATGCGTGATTGCCTTTCGGTTCAAACGAAAAGTAAATTATCGGCTGCCGCGAACATGAGCGTGCACACGCGCTCGGGACGATGCTGTTTTCGTTTCGTTCGATATTTCGTCTCCGGCCTCGTTCCACCGTAAGAGAGGAACAATCGAGAGAACGAATCGAGCGACAGAGGGGCGTGAACGTCGTCGCCTCGGCATCTGGCTGCGCCAGACGATCGGAGACAGAATTAACGGTGAAGCGACCTGGAAAAGCACCTACCTTTCTTCTCCTCGTCCTCGTTGGCGTGAACGACACTGTGATGAAGATGATGGGCGGCCGGATGGTGGCTAGTTATCGCTGGCACCAGAGGGTGGTTCCCCAGCGCCGGATGCGGATGATGAGGATGATGATGGCTGAGGTACCTGACTGCAGCTGCGGCCGCCTGATGCTGGGCCTGCATCGTTTGAACCTGACTTTGAACCTGTCCGAGGACCGGGTGATGCGGTGGCCATCCTGTCAGATGAAACGGAAACACAGGTGTCGCCCTCTGGAAGAGCCTGGCCGGCGTCAGCAGGGAACCACCGGAACCAGCGGAACCGCTACCAGGAGGCACTGGGAAGGACAGACCACCTCCTGGTTCCAGGACCATGTTGGGTACCAACTTGATGACTGGCTGTCTCTCCGCGGGAGAGGCCTCACTTCCTCTGCATTTAAACACCTCTGTCACCGATCGATGCTACTCCGCCGACGTTTATCGGTCCTCTGTGCTCATCGGAACCGATCCAGTTCGCTGGCAGCCTGCTCCCAGAACGTGTCGCGAGTCGACGCGCAAAGGTCTTTAGGATTCCAGTAATCAGAGCGGATCGCGGCTTCTTTGTTTACATCTTCTCGAGCCCGGCAGCACTCGCTCTGCGGTTAGCTCTTTGTTTCGCGGCCAGTGCTTCCGGTCACGTTCACTTTGGCCATCTGAGATCGTCGTTGGTTCGCGGGATATTAGCGGCCGGTGTATCGTTACGAGTGGTCGAGGAGAGCTCGCGTGGAAGTGGTCGGTTCAGGTGCCGTCGGAAGGTGAGCTCTCGGGCTGTTTCGCCTTTAAACGACGAATCCCCGATCGGACGTGGACGAATAGCTTCGAATGTGTCTCGACAACGACATAGTACCGCCTCCTCGACTATACCCCGAAAATCGATGTCCCCGAGAGTCCTCTCCCAGGGTGCGACGTTCGAATCACCGAGCCTGGCGAAGGTTGCTTCGTCGCGCACGGTTGACACGGGTCAGTCTCGATAGTTCTACGGCTCGCGCACAATAACAATCCTCTCGAAGTGTCACTGGAGTCACTCGAATGATCTCTCGTCGACTGTCATCGACGCGAACGCGCGCCGTTCGAGTCCGGATGCTGGTCCCTGGCCAGCGAGTCCTCGACGGTACGTCTTCGGCAACGGCGCCGGGTTCACGGAACAAGAAAAGTCACCGAGGCGGCTGGTCCCCGTTGACGGGGACACCGGTGTAGCACTAGGTAGATCAACACTGGCCCGGCAGAAGCTACGGGGCCGCACCTGGGGACTTGCGTCGCGCGGCCGTCACTGACGAAAACACTGATCAGCTGACGTGATCGGGAACGCGGGTCCGGTCCGACGGGTCTGTTGCGGCGAATTCGGCCACGTAACCCACGAATTCCTGGGATTCCTAGCTGGCAAGGGTCCTGTTAGTGTTAGGACCACTACGGCACGAGCCAACGGCACAGCACTATCTGCCTGGAGAGTCAAGTCAACGGCTCCCCTCTGCACGCGGAGCCCAAACTGGTTTCGGTCTCCGCCCACCGGCTGGGGATTCGCCGACCGGGTGGTGGGTTCACCGGTGCCACTCCATTCCCGGCCAACCGGCGCGGACGGATTACGGCCGGAGCCACGCCTCGCGGACAGTTTTTTAGCCCTGGAATTGAATCGACGCCCCTTCCTTCCAGTAATGGAGCGGCGGTGGGGATGAATCAATTGGTGGCTGCCCTGAAACCGGCCGCAAGATGGCTCCTCCCTACCCCACAGCATTCGGGAAATCACCCCTGCCGTGGACCCTCTCTGCCGCGGCCGACCTTAGTCTCTAATTCGAGCCGCGGATGCACTCCTCCGTCTTCGAGCGGCGAAATTTTCACCTAGGAAAAATTGGGTGTTCCCGGCTGCGCCTTCGTCTCCCGATCGCAGAGTGGTCCTCCCGCGATATTTTAAGGGACACCGTCGCGAATACTTGCCAACGGATACTGATCGGCGAATCGAGGCTCGACCGCGATCGCCAGCGCGCGAAGGCAACAAGAAGCCTGCCTTGCTCGTCTTCCAGGGAAGCGCAGCTCGACAACGTTTCCCTTTCTTCGCGATCGGTCTCCGACGATTGTTGTGCTTCCACCACTCCGCGCGGCCCCCACCAGACCTCTGCCACCCCTCCAGCCCTCGAGGGCACGATCCTCTTTTAATAAGAGGAGCTCGGAGCTCGGAGGCGTTAAGTAATTACATCTATTCTCTTCTGGGGAGGAAATTACCTGCGCCTCGGGGTGGGAAAAATTAGGAAATTAAAATTAACCCCCGCCACGAACGCCGAGCTGTTCCTCCTCCTCTACACCTCGCTCGCCATTCCTGTCCTCCGTTCTATCTATCTATCTCCGTTACCTCCCCGCCCCTCTCTCTCCTCTCTCTCTCGCTCTCTTCCTCTTATCTCTCTCTATTTCTCTATATTTCTCTCTCTCTTTCGCTCTCGCGGTTTCTCTCCCGAGCTCTCCCTCTCCGTCGGTCTTTCTCTCTGTCTCTTGGCTTCGCGCACTCCGCTGGAACTCTTCGTTCTCGAATTTAGGAGGAGCCGGCGGCCATTACCGCTTACGTAATCTTTTTACAGTGGCGGCAGCACCTTGTTAAGCAAAGTTATTTAGCGCGCGACGCCGAGTTTGCCCAGTTGTCGGCGTGTCCCCATCTATCCGAGTCGAAAACTGCCGTCTTCCCATCTATTTCGAGTCGAAAACGAGCCTCCGCGACGATTCTTGATCATTTCGCTATCATGCCCCGGCCAACGAGCGCGTCTCGCGTTTTTTCGCGGTACACGTATTCCGTGTAATCCTCCCTTCTTGAAGAAGAGACTTCTCCACCCTCGGCGGATGTCGTCGAATTTTGTAAAAATCGTAAGCTGCGTCTAACCGGTTCCCGCAGATTTTGATTATGTCGCATGAATTTTCTGAGCTCGATTTGCTTGTCAATGATTTCTAAAATAATAAATTCTGATACGACCAGTAAGGGAACATTTTTTCATGAAGAACGGTGATTGCTCGAATTCGAATTTACTGTGAAGGAATTTGGCACACTTTTAAGAGCCAGAGAAAATCTATAATCGTTTCAATTGCAGATCTAAGATGCTCGATTTCTTGCTTAACGTATAATTCTAATTTTATGCTATTGGTCGAGGTTATTATTAAGTGTCGAATAATATAGTGTGAGTATTTAAGTTTATTATTTTTATCATGCAAATCACTCGCGAAATCTTCGTATCGATGAAAACGTTGTTAACACTAGATTTACGAAACCCGTCAAAATGACGGGTCACTAATATTTTAATTTAAGATTATTCATACCGTAAAGATACATTTATGAATTATTTATTCAATTTATATGTTACCTACGGCAAATGTTACAATAATACTTGATAAAAATCAGAATAAATGCCTTATTATTACTTTTATAAGCTAATATAAAACAGCTGTTTTTTTGCTCGAATATAACCTTAAATCTAGCGTTAAAGATACTTCAAAAATACTATGAATTCAGGTTCAAAATTTACCAGTGACTTTTCTAAAATATGTAAACTAAAGGATTTTGCAAAAACGAGCGACTTGTTTCAACCGAGAACAATAATGAACACTGTTGAAATCACTCTACATGCAAAATTTTGAAAATTCTATTAAAACGAGATACGATTCTTAGATACCACGTTACAAATCACGGTAAATAAATTAACGCGCGATAGTTGGTCGAAAATGAACGAGGAAATTTTCCGATACAGCGTTCCGCGACACGAGATGGTCGACGCTGAATATGCCTGAGACATGCGATCGTTTCAATATGTCGATTTAATCAGAGCTGCATTCAATATTTCGAACGATCGCGTTGTTTACTGGAAATACGTTGCCCTAATCAATTCTACTGGTTACACGTGCAAACTCCATTAAAATCATAAATCCACAAAGCAGATACCATTAGAAACGAGAACGATATTAATTTTAGATCGCTCCTTGTATTTTCGATCATCGACTAATGCTCTCCGCAACGATTTTCATCAGCCGACACAGAGTTTGAAATTCTTCCACTTTAAATTCTTTCACTCGCGAACGAGCACGATAAAACATATCCTAATTTGTCCCGAATTATACGAGGAGGCTATTACCGCATTTTTACTCTTCATTTTCCCACGTCGCTTTTTTCCCCACCGACAGCTAAATGTTCCCGGCATGGGAATCGCGGTGTTCTTGAATTAAAAATTCGCTGTATCCTATTTGTCGCGCGGCCTGAGCTTGCAGAATTTATGCTCGAAGTGGGCGCGCGCACGCGCGCGCGTCGGGGGATGCGCTATCGGCTGACGGCCGCGTCTGCAGTCAATTTGCCTAGGAACAGATGCATTTCTATTATCTGTCAGGGGCGCCCGCTCTTTGTGGATGCATAAACAGGCGTTGCTAATGGGATCGAGGTTATTACAGTCGCGGGAAGCAGTTATTGTGGGAACACCACCTTTTTGTGTCGCCCCGCTGCGACCTTCGGTATGTCGCTGATAAAACTATAAATTAATGTAATTCCACTTGGGTCGCGTTTACGTTCGCGTCCAACTAATTTATACAAACCGGGCTACTTTGTACGTTTTGTTGATACGTTCACTATGCAACCGGGAAACTTTATGCATTATATTAATACGTTCACTTTGCAACCGTACAAGTTCGTACGTTTTGTTGGTACGTTCACTTTGTAACCGAACAAGTATATACATTTCGATGAAACATACGTTTTATACAGTATTTGTGCTGATTGTGGGACAGCGAATTTTACGCATGTTGGATTAAAAAATGGCTGACAGTCGAATATGCAAAACTGGGAAACTGTTGGAAGAATTGAAAAATGCTCTTATACGTGCATTTTATTAGAATTACTAATTAATTGTAAGACTTACGTTTCTTACAATATACTGATTAGACCATTTCTATTTGGCATAAATAAATCTGCTACCTGGACCCGTCGAATTTTTTTTCATGGTTTCGTTCTTGGTAAATACGTAAATTCTGCAGCTCGATTGATGCATAAAGTTATAAAATTGCAGCTTTTTTCAGTACAGTCACAGATACTTGGTTGAACATGATCAAAAATCTAATCAAATTAAACGAACAATTCGTACACATTTTTCTTTGCACGAGGCAATATCGTATGAAACGAGGTACACTGTTCAAAATCGAAGTAAAACGAAGAATATCGACTGCGGATGTCACACAGTTATGTTAAATGGATCGAATTTGCAGCTTACAAAAATTATTAAAAAAAGAAGACCATAATAAAGACCTATAATAATTACAAGACCGCGAATCTTACACATTTATGTAAAAAAATAAGTAGCATCAGATAAATATTATTATTTTCATTCAAATTATATCACTTCGGTTCTAAAAAAATTGTCGCAGCAAGCAAGACGTTTCCAATTCGCTCTTGCGCTTTACAACTGTTGCGGGTCATTTTTATTTTACACAAAACACTTACTTACGTCCCGAAGCGTAATGTAAAAGCGGCAAGACGACCGCCATCTAGTAAACGTGCGAACGTAGAAACGCTGTCGTTCGACCTGCGACCTTTTATTTGCGCGCATCACGAGGGTGGCGCGAACCCGGTTCGAAACTCGAGGAAACGATGATCCTTTTGTAAATCCCTTGTCGCCGATAATCCGGCGATCCAGGAGAAATCGTTCGTGCCCGGTGGCGTGGTTTTAAGCCGGGAACCCCGGCAAGTTCGCGAGCCTCGTTCAGAATCGGTGTACACGGAAGCGTCTCGGGGGGGTGGCGCGAGGCGGAGAAGCTGGCGAGTTCCTAATTTACACAGCCGCCGCATTCTCCGAAGCCCTTTTGGCCCGGACTCCAGAGTGCCGTCGGAACTTCGCCGACGATTAAAACGCTTTAGTAATTAACTGGGTCTCCTCACCTTCCGCGGTAACAGTTACCAAACCCACCAGCGGCCTCCTTCCGCCAACCAGTGGCGAGGATCACTCTTCTCTCCGCCGTTCCTCTTTTCCGTTCCGTCCACGAGCGCGCGGCCTCTCTTCTTCTCACCCTCTTTCGGCGTCGTCCCTCTTCCTCGGGCCGCTTCCTCTGGCCCGCTGGCGCATATTTAGGGATCGCTGGTTAGAGGTTGCCCGGGCAACCGCGCGCCGAGAAACCCTCTGTCGTTACCAGGGCAACCTTCTCCGCTCCTTCATCTTCCCTCTCGGCCTCCTTTTCCCGACCGCCGCGCCGCGGCCGGATTCAATTCGTGAGAGCGAGAACGAATCGACTGAGAGCGAGTGGAAAGAGGTGTGGGCGAGAGAACACCGACCCTATACTTCTCTCTTCTCTCCCTGCTGCTGCTGCTGCTGCCCGGCGGCGACGCCGGGAAAACGAAAAAGATGCCGCACGTTCGGTGATTGTATTTGATAGCCCGGCCGTGGACGTGGAGAATGAAGATTCGACCTTGATTAAAGCAGCCGTCGCCGCCGCCACCGCCGCTGTTGCCTCCCGAATTTTCCCGCAGCTGCCTCCTCGGGACTTCAACCAACCCTCGTCCAACGATGATTGTTTTCGCACGCTTCGGGTTCGATCCCAGAAATGATCTTCTCTCGCCGGCTGAGACCGACCCGGAGATGTCATGTTTTAGTTTCCACTCTTTTGGCAGGGATCCTCTGTGCTTTTAATTGTTTCGTTTCGAAGAATCTCTCTCGTTTTTGGGTGGCAAGCTGCAGCGAATTCTCCGCAATTGACCCTCAGCTTTTGGAAGAGGAGGTACGATTGGTTGAGCTTTGAGGCTCGTTTTTCTTTGCTGTTGAAAATGGGTAACTATAAAAATATATATATTACATTATATTATATTATATTATATTTATATCATATTTATATTATATTTATATTATATTTATGTTATATTTGTTATCATATTTATATTATATTTATATTATATTTATATTATATTTATATCATATTTATATTATATATATAATATAAATATATAATCTAATAACAATAATCGCATCTTCCCTTCCCAAATTGTCCATTTTTATGTACAAGC